CGACGTGTGAAACAAGCTTGTTCCAAATTTGAACTAATAAAAAAATGACCTAGCACTGCAGCAGGCACATGATAGACACTCAATAAATGCCAGTTTATTTTTAATTTTTATGAAAATGTTAAAACTACTGAGATGGGGAGCTGGAGAGATGGTTCCGTGGTTAAGGGCACTGTTGCACTTGCAGAGGACCCATATAGGATGGCTCATCAACACATGTACATCCAGTGGATTCAATATTCTCTTCTGGCTCTGCAAGCACACACACTGTCATGCATAGAACCCTGTGTGCACATACATATAGTACACATACTTACCCTAAAATAAAAACACACACACACACACACACACACACACACACACACACACACACACACACACACACACACACACACACAGTCTTATAAATATCTTCAAATAAAATTAAGGACATAGAGCTGGATCCATAGCCCAGTGGTATAGCACGGCACGGTCAAAGCCCAAGATCAGTCCCTCGCAACATTCACCTCCCCTGCAGAAAGTATTTAAAGAATATTTATATAGAATATTAACATATGTAAGTTTTCCATTTCCTGTGCTCTGCTAGCTCTGGCATAGTGTCAAAGACAAAAACAAAACAGAAATAACGTGGTTTAGGATATATAATTACAACATGATTTCACCTCCTGGCAGGCTCCATCAGAGAAAATGGTAGGGAAGGAGCTGGCAAATTCACCTCTTCAATGCCTCCCTGTTACCAAATTACCTTTCACTTTACTCATTATTTTGATTTATTCCTGTTTTAAGTAAAGATGTCTTTTTTAGGCCAAAAAAGAGAACAGAAATAAGCAAGTAAGCAACTCTGATCAACATCAGAAATAAAGGCTTCAAATGAATGTTAACAATATTGTTTAAGTGAATAAATGAAAATTTGAGGGAAAGACAATATATCATTGAGGAAAATTCGGAGTGATTGATGAATGAATAACTGAATGGCTTCTATAAATAGCAAATGAAGATTTAAGGAATTAGATACATTTAAAGACAGACTTGGTGACTTGGAATACTTGTCTTGGGGAATTTCCCAGGATGCAGCAGAAAGAGACAAAGATGTGGAAATGCTAATAAAATGTAAAGACACACATTAAAAAAGCATGCTTGGTAATGTCCTAGAAATAGAATTAAAGAGAGCATTGACAAAGTAACCTTCTAAGATGCTATAAATATGAATTTTCTAGGGTGACTGAAATAAAAAACAATCCTCAGTCACAGAACAAACTACAGATCATAGCCCAAAAATTGAAAACAAATATCAGCCACAGGGTTCATACTGAAAGACTAAGAATATGAAGGATTATGTCATCATCAACATTACAGAGAAATACAGTTACTGACAAATCCAAATAATAAATGAAGGAAACTGCAATTCTGTCTCCTATATTTCTGACTGGAAAGCAAGATAGTGTTTTCTACTAGGAAAATCATCTGGAAGCTTCTTGTAAATCTAAACAAACATTTTTTTTTATTTTTCAGTTCTCTCTCTCTCTCTCTCTCTCTCTCTCTCTCTCTCTCTCTCTCTCTGTGTGTGTGTGTGTGTGTGTGTGTGTGTGTGTGTGTGCATGCAGGTGCCTAAGGCCAGAAGGGGGTATCAGATCCCCAGATGTGGAGTTACAGGCAACTGTGAACTGACCAACATAGGTTCTGGGAACCAAATTAGGGTCTTCTGCAAGATCTGGATTTTCTCTTAACTGATGAGCTATCTCCAGTCCACAAATATATACTTACCATATGATCTAGATATCTCACTCCGGGGTATATACCCTTCCAAAATGAAACTCATATGTATTCACAAACCTGATTGCAAATGTAGCATTCATTACCCATAATTGCCTCAAAGTAGATGCCACACAAATGCTCTTCACTGAGTGAATGCATAAATAGGGTTACATTCATGAAGTTGAATGCTTCTCATCGATAAAAATGTGCTGCCAACATGTACTACCCTATGGATAAAAACCTCACATGCTTTTTACTAAGTGAACCAAACCAAATTTTGCTCATTTGGCCTCTGTGAGAGGAAAAGCTATAATAATGGAGAAAAGATGTAAGGGTGCCAGATGTGGGGGCCATGTGGGACTTAAAAGGGAAGCATGAGAAAGTGTGTGGGGCCTAGTAGAGTTCTGTATGTTAATTATGGCACAA